AACAGACAAAAAGACGAAAGGCTTGAAATTGAATGGTATAGGAGAATGGGATCCCTGAGTAGAGAGCGAGGGGGGAAAAAAAAAAACGAAAAAAATAGCGGAAGAACGGAATGGGAGGAAAGGCTGGGTAAAGGGAAGGGACGCTTTGTCCCAGGGAAGATGCAATGTGGCAACTGTTACGTAATAACAAGCACACGTTATACACACGGACGAAGGGGTGGCGAGAGAACGGGGGCCGATGGATGATAGGTGGGGATGACGGGATACTAGAGTGTAAACGAGGAATGAAAAGGGCAATGTCCAAGGGAGATATATTCACGGGATCGTGTAACGAACGAGTCTCATTCGGCGAGGACGCACAGCTCCGCGCTGCAACGTCGCGGCAACGACGGTTTTTCCAGCCGGTTCTTTCTCTTTCTCTCTGTCTCTCTCTTGCGAAACATCTCTGCGAGAGTGACGTAGAGTGGGGAAGAACGAAAAAGACGAGAAGAAAAGGCCACGCGGGTACGAAGCGCGATGGAATTGGAAAAGTCGCGGTGGTGTGCGCCGGGCGAAAGCTTCGGCTGAAACCGAAGCGATGTGATCGATCCTCTCTCTGGTCACCGTTCGTTGTTGTTGTACGCAACGACACTGTCGACCGGCTACCGGTCACCGGGATCGAATTCTCGATGCGATTTCGCGGTGACGCGCGACGAGACGAGGAGGAAGGTTCTTCCTCGTCATCGTGGAACGTCGTTTGCGCGTCGCATCGCGTTACGTCGTCGCACGTGCGCCACCGCATCAGAGACGCGCAGGGCAAAGTGCATCGTAAGACTGCTGACGGGTGCAGCACCGGTGCTCTGGCTTTCCGATGCAACGCATTACCCCTTATCCCCCTCGAGGCCTCGTCCTCTTTGTACGCCCCTCCCTCTTTCACTCGGCCGACCGTGCGCACAGCGACGACCAACGCACCACGTGACCATCCCTTTAACTTTAGAGCAAACCGATTAACGCACCACTCTTTACGACCACCGACGTGTCTCCTCTTCCTTCTTAATTTCTACCCTTTTTTCCCTCTCTCTCTCGTTTTCTAGATCCTCGGAAAAGTCTCTCCCTCTTCTCGCGGTAGATGCAGAAGACATTTTTTCCTCGCTACCATTCTTTCCCTCCTCGTCTTCTCCGCGTCGACTCGCATCTGCATTTACTACATACTACATATTTGCCTCTCTCTCTTTCTCTCACCCTCTCTTTTTCCCCACCTTTTGACCTTCCAACGATTTTTTCTCTCGTTCTCCACTAGGAGGAACGCGTCTCTCTGTGTATATTTTTCTTCTCTTCCGTAGCTTCCTCTCTTTGTCCCGAGAGCGGGCGCGCCACGAATCCCTCTTTCATCCGCACGCTAGACGCGAGCCGCGTTCATCTTCGTCCGACGTCGAGGAAGTAAACTCTCGCGCGTCTCTGTTACGCGGGGCGAGAGGAAGCTGGTGGAAGAGGACGGGCGGGAGGGAAGGAAGGGAAGAACGCTTGCAAGCAGCAGAGGCTGCTTTTCTCGCGTTTTCTCTGTCGCTCCGAGGGCGAATTGCCGCGGCGTCGGGTCCTCTCCTCGTCTCTCTCTATCTCTCTGTCTCTCTGGTAGAGAGATTCTGTCGGAGCACTGCGTCATTTCTGTACGGCGGCGTACAGATTCGTTCTCTCGCTCCGATTCGCTCTTTCCTGAATACCGACGCGTCCTCCCTGTTCGCGGGGGCTTCGGGACGCATCCCCACCAGCCGCGGGAGCCGGCTCGTTGCACCGGCTGGGGGGCCGAGCGGTGCAGCCGTCCTCGTCGCTCGGCTCCATTCATGCCTCGACTCTCTTTGGGTTATGCAACCTGGCCGAGAGATGGGAGAGGCGAGAGACGAGGATTGCGTCGACTGCGCCGCCGATACTGCACGCTCGTTTCACCGAATCTTACCTCACGAAGAGGAGCTTGGCTAACTCGCCGGGCTAACCTTCCGCCGATGCACCGCTCCGTGGCACGTCACGCCGCTCTTCCTTCTACCGCCGACAACGGCACGCTAACGGCTCGCAACACTGCGCAACGCGATTCAATTTTTTTTTTCCTTTCTTTCTTGTTTTCTTCCCCACTCGCTGGCGATTAACCCTTTCGAGACCGGTGGTCGACGCATTATCTCCATTGTAGAATTGTTGTTGGATCCCCACCACTGTGAATCCTCTTTGAATCTACGTTGCGGCCAAAATTTTTTTCAACTCTCTCTCTGTCAGTTCTCGCGAATAAAATAGCTCGAGACATCTTCTTCTCGAGGGCATCGTGGCAACTGTAAAGAAGGAGAAAATGAAGGAAAGAAGGAGGACAGTTGGATTATGCAGCGATTGCTTCAATATTTAAATTGCTTTCAGTCGATGTCCGCTCCATTATCGGAAAGTAGAGCTCCCTTCGATCATGCTTATTGTCGTGCCAACAATTACAATTGCAACTGTTGTACCAACAGTCACTGTCGAGTGAAAGATTCGTCTGTAAAAGGATTGATCCATCAACCGTGCGCAATCGAAGATCCAGGGACGAGGAACGGTGAGAAATAATCCTGCTCGTGTTTCGTCTCTAACAGCCGTAATTCGTACTCTGTTTTATTGCTCTCGATACAAACAATTCACTTGTACCAGTGTAGAGAAGGAAACAGCAGCCGCGCGTGAATCTCAACCACGCACGATCCACGATATCACGTCGAAAAGAGCAGCCGTCACGCCTGTCTTTGGCAAACCTTTCCGCTGATTACAATACCTAGACTATTTAACATCCTATAGTCTACCTATACATTTGTAATTCGATGAAGGTTTGCCAAAAGCTTCTATCGCAGAGATAACCAAAGTGAGCAACGATCGATCTCTCTTTTCTCTCCCGTTATTTCCTTCTCCTTCAAACGGCGTGGATCGTCGAGATCGTCGACGAAGCTTCAACCATAAGGGTCGTTCGTGGACGTAGGAACGTGAGAAACCGCACCACCGCTATTTATTACACGTGAAACCTATCGGTTCGTCCGAACAGGCGTGCATTTTGCCCGATTCGTTCGATCATACGAATACGTGACCCGTTGCCTAACTCCTCGCACGGTACACGCGAGTGACACGCGCGAATTCCTTACGTCTATTACGTATATTATGTACGAAAAAATAGTGTCTTTTTTTTTCTTTTTTGTTCTTGTTTTATCTTACATCCAGCGTGAAACGTGGAACGGAACGCGGGGCGTTTCGCAGTTGTACCGGTATTACAGTATCGGTATCGGTATTAAGTGAAACACGTGATAGAGTTTGTGACGATGTCGAGGTGGGGAGGGGAGAGAGATGGTAAGTTGAAGGTATTACTTGGAGGATATTTTACAGTGGCAAAAAATGGCAGTTGAAAAACTTACGTGTCTAAAAGAGAAGTAGCGAGATAACAACACGCAGGACGTGGCACGTTTATTCGTTCAGAGTTTTCAAGAATCGATCACGAGGCAACCGGCCGATTGAGAGGATCAGACGCGTCGTCTCGTAGGCGTACGGTGTAATAAACGTGCGTTTATCGTTTGTCGTGGCACTGCACCGAAACGATTGCGTGCACGTCGTGCGAAAGACACATCGGAATTGCGACATTCCGTGTGTCATTCGTGAGAGAATCCATTTGGAGGAAAGCTTCGCGAGATATTGCGTAACGAAGCAGAGGCAGCTATGATGGCTGCACCGATCTCCTAGGATTCTCCTAGGACAAGCGTTTTCGAAACGAGGTTCGCGCACGCAAACTCAGAGTCTATTTTTTCTTTATTTATATATGGTTTCTCTCCGTTGGCGATCAAAGGTGGGGAACAGATCGAGAATCCGTGAATTACGCGACACATTTCCTTTGGTCTAATTTTCTGGTAGCAACGCTGTAAAAACTTATTTACCGGTGGAAATCGCAGAGATCGAAATTTCAGATATATAATCTAGAATGGCTCCCCATTTGGCGCAGCAGACACAGCTGAGATCGATCTAATTGACTTCTGTATCGGATCAACAGCGACTAGATTCATGGAAGACACGCATGGAATAATAATTTTGACGCGGGATGCGCGATCGACGTACCTCGCGCAACGAGATGAAAGCTCGATCGATTCGATCGAACGAGACGAGACTATGTCGCTGTTGATAACGCCGCTGCGTTAATTCGACTTCGATCTGTGGAACGTGTGGAACGTGTGGACCGTGTGGAACATCGACGAAGCGCCGCGAGGTACGAAAAATCTATTTAGGAATCCCTCGCGTTAATACTTTTTTTCTTTCTTTTTTTGTAGACAAATCCATAAACCTAGACGGACGTGAACCGTCGACCTTCTTATAGGTAAATGCCTCTCGATTTCGCCCTTACGTTTCGTCGCACCCAACTCTAGCCTAATCCGACGTCTAGGGACATCATTACCAAAAAACCAACGACGGCGGCCCAGCTGGCGAGTTTGCCGTTTCCACTGCAATCAGAAAGCAAGAAACGTGTGTTTTCTCTGAGACATGTCTCGCACCTGAGATGACAAGACACACCAACATGCTCTCTCTCTTTCTTCGTGTCCAGGAATGGATCCCTCGGGAGAGACTAACAGTGGCTCGCGACAGTGTATCTCTCAGCGGCTATAAAGACTTAACTTACTACGTACTAGTAGTTTTCGGAAGGAAAGTTTCTAGAAAGATATTATTTCTTTGTTTGGCTGCAGTTGCACGGTTGTAGCCATGCGTTTCATTATTTTTATACATATTTCAATTATCGTGAGATAAATATGCTCCGTGTGGGAGAAAAGTGAAGAACACGACTTACGATTTCCTTCTCTCGTAACTTCGCGAGCCACTGTAAACGTAGAACTGGAAATGGTTCAACGACGATGGAACGTGAAGGTAAAATCGAACGGAGGATGGAACGAGAGGAACTTGGACGATTGATTGAACCTAGATGGTGAGAAACCTAGACGGTGGAAAAAGGGAGAGCCT